CTGGTCTGGGTTGGCTAGAATCCAGGCAGCTGGGTAAAACCAAGTCACTGGCCTGGATTCTTCATTTTACCCTTCGGTTTCTGAGGATGAGGGAAAAGGAGAGAGGATCTGTTTGTGGACTTCTCCACAGAGTAGCCAAGAAAGAGAAAAGGAAATTTGCTGAGACAAGAAACTGCATTTCAAATGTGCTAGGAGATAGCTGAACAACTTTAGTCACAAAAATCAACTATTTTCTCAAGTCCCAAATCTTCTAAGAGAAAAAACAGACAGGATCGTTTGTTTGTTTGCTTGGAGCCATGAACGCCGTCCTTCTGACTGCGTGATGGAGAAGTGTGATCAGAGAAGCTGTCCTGAGCAGGGGCATTCTTACCTACCTAGGCCCATTTATCAGTCAGGACCACACAAATACTTAACACGCACCTGACCATTGACTCTTGTAACTTAGAAGCTCAGGATATAGAGCCCCACTCAGTTCTGAAGCGCCAAGGATTTTAGTAGTCTGCCTCCTCCATCTCTTTTCTCTGCTTGCCCCTGAAAAGGCTTCTTTATCAGGCTTACTTTCTCCTCACAGCAATGCAGCCTCGTTTTCCAGCAATTCAACACCAGCCGTGCGAACTTCCTGGATGTTTCAAGGACTCTCATTGGGTCCAGCTGAAGTCATATGCCATCATTAAACCAGAGGCTCTGCTTGGGACTAAGTCAAGCTCCTAGATTTCAGTAGTGTTATAAGTTTAACCTGCATGCCGAGGTCTAAGATTGTGCAAGGGTGTTTATCAAAGGAAAATGAAGATATAATTAGCAGGGGCAAAACATGAATGCTGTAGGGCCAGGACAAGAGGAGGTCAGAGAGAATCAAGGGGCACATCCCTCATCTTGCCTTAGTCCTGGCCATAGGTGATAGGCAAGCATGAAAGAAAATACTCCTTACATCCCGTGAGGGTTAATCATGATTTTCAACTTGACTGGATTCAGAGGGCCTAGCAGAAGAGTAATTCGCACTTTTGGGTGTGTCTGTGTAGCTGATAGAGGATGACCTTGGGGATTACATCTGGTCCGCAGCCCTTTCCTCTCATGGCTCTTCCCCTGCTGTTTCCAGCGGCCTTGAAGTGAAAATCTTTGCTCCATCATTCCCTTCCACCATAAGGTTTCTCCTTTGGAGCCAGTCAACCATGAACTGAACCTTCTGAAACTAGGTGCCTCTTCTATAAGTCAGGTATTTTGTCCCAACAATAGAAAATCTAATACATAGCCATACTCAAAAACATATTACCAAGGACCTAAGCACCCCATTATTAGAGATTCATTTCTTTAGGTTAGGCAGAAATATCTCCATGACTACATCAGTTTCTCTCTCTCTCTCTCTCTCTCTCTGTTTTCCAAAATCCAACAAATCTTGAAGTCAGTAAGAGTTCCTCACAGATATCTTGATGATGATAAGCAAGTCAGGGCCGGGTATTTAGCCCAGTGGTGCTGCTGCCTGCCTTGCAAACACAAGGACCAGAGTTCAATCCCTGGTCCCCCCCCAAAAAAAAAGAAAGCAAATCAGTCACTTTCAGGATCCGTACCTGTTGGAAGGCGCATTCCATAATTAGGTGTGCTATCTGTAAGGAGAGGTCTTCAGGAAGAAAGTGAAGTGACTAAGGCCAGAGACATACAGAATGGAGTCCCTGAAAGAAGGAATGCAATGTAGAAAAGGAGACACAGATGCTAAAGGCAACGTTTACTCAATCGCTTGTGGCTACTTAATGAACACTGGTTTACATCCGTTGTGTGAATTCTGTCATCTGGGGAATCTGAGATAGCAACTGGTGAGTGACGAGGCAGCAGAAAAGATTCAGGATGTAGCACACATGGAAATTCCTAAACAGGAGCACTCTGAGGAGCCACAGGATCTGGGATGTCTTATCTAGATTCTCACCTGCAGGCTACAAGAAAAAAGATGGATCTTGCCAAAAGCAAATCCTTGGGTATGCAGCTTACTGGGATATTTTGGAAGTTTAATTTTCCCATACAACAAGGGTTTAAAGAAACACTGGGAGAGATATGAATTGTGTCCTTCCTAGGCCTGTGGGAGGAAATTAATCCTTAAACTTCAAGATAACTGAGTCAAGTGCCTCTTAAGATAAAGACTAATAAAAACAAATTTTCCATCCATCATATCCCACTAATTATATCTTCCTTTTGGGGGGACTTTCGTTGCCTTTAGCAAAGAAAAAATCTTACATAATTGAAATAGATCTGCTTCTTTTACTAATCAAATTTCAAATTTTTCATCCACTTAACAGTGATAAAGTGATGACTCTGTTATTAGCTGGAAGCTGACTTTGGGAGTATAGTTGTCATTGTGTCAACTTATAACTGATCCACACAGTATCTGGAAACCAAAGTGACCTGCACCAGAGCTGTCAGCTCTCTGCTTCTGGGGACAGACAGGGTAAAGGGCAAATCTTTACCAATAAGCATTTAGTTCCTAAGAGTTTCCCATACATATGTTAATAATAAACTGCACAGTCAGTCACCTCCAGACTAGCACCTGTGAAAGCCCCAACTCATAATGAGGTGTGGTACACTTCAAGGAGAAGCCTGGGAGGCAGAGAAGGAACCCTCCCTGTATGGGGAGAAGTCCTTGAAAAGAAGAAGAAGCTTAATTTCCCATTATGTCAGGGTTTAAGGAAAAACTGGGAGAGTATGAATTGTGTGTCTATCCTAGGCCTAAGGGGAAAAATCAACTGTTAAACTATAAAATAAGTCAAGTGACTTTAAAATTTAGTGCTAACGAGGCTATTTAGTATTATTTTTGGTTTGTTTGTTTGAGACAGGATGTCTCTGTGCAGTCCAGGCTTGAACTTGCTGTGGAGCCCAGGCCAACCTTAAACTCAAAATTCACCTCCCTCAGCCTTCCAATCGCTGGGATTACAGGCTTGGGCCACCACACCCAGTCATTAGTTATTTTGTGACCTTGGGCATAGCTGACTTTCTTAAACAGCTCTGAGTAAGCTGCAGAACCCTAACTCCCCACTTCGGGGAGCAGCCCTCTGCCTGCAAAACAGCTTGCACATGAAGAGCCTTCAGGAGGGGTGTAAGGGGCCAGAATGTCTGGTGTGCCCTGCAACTTTCTTTTCATAGTAGCTATTTGTTTTGCATTTCACTGGCTTCTAATAAGTCTTGGTTCTGCTTGTAAATATTGGGATCAATGTGCTGAGAATCAACAAGGCTTAAAGCCAGACCTTAGGCTAGAGGCAAGTCATATGGGCGAGAGGCTCCTGCACTCTGCAGCCTGAAAACCTGAAACCCAGAGTCCCCCAGTCTGCTGCTCATCCCCGTCAAGCCAACCTATCAGGGGCCCTTAGGGACACACTCTCCTAGCATCTGAATCTTCATACTGGGAGCCCATATGCTATAAAATCAATGAATTCCTTCTTACGTTCTTCCTTGCCTAGGATTGCTATCAGATGAACTCTGCAAATTATGACAGTTTGTGGTAGGCTTATTAATTAACAAGTGCAATAGTACGTGTGCTATGTGAAGCACTGTGCTCATCTGGGTCGAGAATTCCTGGCTGAGCCTGTACTCCTGGCGAGCAGACACATTCGCAGTAACAAGTCTCGGATCTAACCGCTGTGTACAGCATGACCTACCTGTGTGGAACAAGAAAGCGTTTAATTACAACAGATGGCCCAGCCAGCCTTCCTGGAAGACGGGGCCCCTGAGATGACGGGTGCGATGCGTGGGGAGAGTTACAGTCCATGCACTGGGGAGGTTGGCTCACCAGCCCCGGTCGCACCTCCCGTGTGGCCCGAATCTGGACCTTGGGCAAGCACACGAGGGAACTGATGTCTGGTTGGCTGAGTGAGAGGCGAGCTCTGACTGCAGGGTTTGGAAACACGGGAGACGCTTCTTCCAGACATGATCGTGATCATGGAAACCCTAACCTGCCGTGGCTGTGCCTTTTTTAGGTCTGTCCACATCCAAAGTCACGCTATTCCGACTGCACAGGCAGCCAGCCCTCCACACTGTGGGTTCCACGACTGTGGGCTCAACCAACTACACCTCAAAAATAGCTGGAAAAACATTTTAACCTGTACTGAGCGTGCAGACCCTTTTACCATTATTCCCCGATGCACAGAAACGCCTACTTAAATAGTATTTACATCATCCCACTAGTTAGCCTACGATAATGATCTAGAGATAAGTTAAATTATACAAGAGGAAGCGCCTGGGTAATTATACGGGGACCTCGGAGTCCTCGAGTTCGGAATTCTCAGGGGCCCGACACCAGTGCCCTGAGATAAAGGGGGGAAATGTGCATGAGGGTCACTCCTCAAATGACTCGTCTACCCGAACTAGGACCGAAAACTCGGGGCCATCCCAGCGTGAGCCCCCTCAAGAGGCCAGGGCTTTCTGACCCAGATGCCAGGAGAGCGGTTTCCCAAGCTCCCGTCGGCCCGGCACACGCAGGTCCAAGGCTGGGCCGGGTGCTGACAACGCCAGGGGCAACAAGCAGCAAAGTCTGTAACCAAAGCAGCACAGGACGTTCTGGTTCTTCAAGCTGTGTGGGATTCCCAGCCTGACCACTTCCTGGAAACCTTTCTGCACTGCTTCTCTTGCGTAACCTAGCGGGCCCTCCCTCCGCTCCGGGCTTCTTATGCTGGAGCCAGCGGG